GTTATGTCCTAAAGAAATATTAGAACTAACCCGATCCACTTTAAACCCCTTTTTGCATTTTATTGTTATTCAATTTTTCTTAAAAGCTTTTTAGCCCTAAAACCCCTTCAAGATGGTTCCCAGTGATTCGTGATTTAAAACATTAGTTTTTATGGATAAAAATGACCAGGTCTATGTAGCTAATTGTCTAAAGGGAAATTTATCAAAATACATTTGAGTTTAAAATATTTACCGTTTAATTACACTTAAAGTATAAAATATTGTAGTTCATGATTAGTGCCTAAAATTTTTGAAATTATATAACAAGAGCAAGAGGTTAAATAGTTCATCTTTTAGGTATTTTTTTATAAGTTTTTATTTTTAAAAGATTGCATGGCTGAACGAGACCCAAGTGATTCTGCATCGGAAAATCCTGAGTCACCTAAATCCCCCATTTTTATATAGTTTACATTTGAAAATTTTATCAAAATAACCCTAAGATACGAAGTATTTAACACTTTACACATTATTTGATTTACTTTCAAAATACCCATAAAAACACACACGATCATGAGTTGAAATAGTTACAAATATATAAATATTAAAAAAAAAAAATCATGCGGACAAAACCGCATTTTTACATATGCGGTCAAAAAAGTGTAAAGCATCCATCTTAAAGATGGAGGCAAGCGTTCCATCTAAGAACAATAGAAACAAACTGTCCAAATGTTTTCTTATTAGAATCACTATTTCTAGTTTTTAAAATTTATTTATTTTTTCATATTCCTGATCTTCATGTTATAGATTACATGTCTTTAAAAATTTAAGTCCTAAAATCCATCTCAAAAATAGATTTATTAAGAGGACCGTATTTCTACGTATGCAAGACCACATAGAAACCGGATCCAATAACCCGCCTAATCGACTCGACAAGCCCCCTAGCAATTTAGAACCCGAGTCTGACTTTTTAGGTAATGGTAGTGTCATGTCATGTCAAAATTTCACTCTATCACCTTAAAATCCATCAAAATTTTAATTATTTTTTACTATTGAAAAAAAATTATATGATTTTTTATTTTTTTTCTCAGTACTTATTAGTTCCAATTTTTGTTTGCAAGTAGAGCCGGATGTAGGTGAATTTCAGGGCTGAGATTGGGGGAAATTAGAATTGGGGCATTTTTGCCTTTTAAATGAATTTTGGGCTTCATTGTCTTTCTGAGATTGTGCGGAGAATGAGGCTTTGACCGGATATACTTTTGTAAAGACTCAATTTGGTCATTTACCTTGTACTAATTAGAAGGGGTGGGACCCATTACGGGGGACAAAAGAGAAGAAAGAACTCTTTGCGTGTGAATTAGGGTTTTGAAAAGGAGGAGAGAGAGAGAGAGTAGGTTAGAGAGAGAGAGAGAGTAGTTAGTTAAGTAGGTGTCGACGTACGTCGTCCGACCGACCGAACCGTACCGTAGACGTCGTAGGTAGGTACGTACGGGTTTAGGGTTGGTCGGTACGTACGT